ATGATTACAACAGGAAACATTTATAACGCTGCAACTTTATCCCTCTCCCCACCCAGATGATTTCCTGAGCTGCTTCTAAGGTCAGGACCAAGATTTAGTTTTGAACTCTTTAAATAATTGAGGGACAATATTGCCCCTTGTTTAGGAGAGCTGTAATCTCCCTGGGAAGTGCAGCAAGCGAGTAGGCAGGGGATGGTTTAAGGAGCATTGTAACATCTGTTTGAGATGGAACTGGGTTCCTTGGGGCATCTGTAATAGTATTAGATAGATTTTCCCCTCCCAATAATTAGCTTTAGAGCTAATTACTGAGACTTTTAATGGTACCCTGAGTACTGGTTTTGAGGGGGGATGCGCCTCCTTGTAGGGATGTGAATTTGAGGTTGGAATGTTTTAGTCTGCTCAGGTTTGAAAAGAATGGGATTTAAACAACGTGCCTCCTCGCTGACAGTCCCTGAAATACAGCCGCCGAGCCTGACTGAATCCCATGACGGAAGAACTTTATCCCTTTGCAATCCATGGAATGGTGCTGCACGGGGAGCCGAGGGACTGAAAAGTACTTTCTCACGGCATATCCATGTAAGAGTTTCCAGCTGTCCGGCACGTGAGAGGCAGCTCCGGCCCTGGGGGGGTCGCGGGCGGGGGGGGGCAACGTTACCCGGCCCTGGGGGGAGCGCGGGCGGGGGGGGACACTGTTACAGCAGCTGCTTTTCATCATCCTTGCAGCTGGATGGCCCCAAATTACAGCTACCAGAGCCTGAGCAAAAGCCAAAAACAACCCCGAACCCACCCGGGCCCAGTGTGGGGACGAGCGGGTGTGGAGCCGCTGTCACATGCTGGATGGGCTTTGTGGGGAGGGATGTTTCAGTTCAGCCATTTGGGCTTTTCCCTCTGGGCTTCTCCAGATGTTTATTTCTGATAGTTCTGGCATTAGGTGGAAATAACTCTGCTGGATGCAAGAGCTGTAGCCTCAGGGTGAAGTCATGCGCTCACCATAGCTGTGTCTGGAGGGGTTTGGGTTCGTTGCAGGCCCTGACCCCTTCCACAGCCCAGTGGAGGAAGAGGCTGCACAAGGTGCTCTCCAAGTATGGGGTATTTCCCCTATATTGGTGTTACTGTGCCCAGTCGTAGTTAAATGCCTTCAATTCCTTATTTGCTCTTTGTCTGTGCTGCAGGAAAGGCTTTTTGGGTAGGTATGTGTGGAATCAGTGTATTCTGATTGAGGAATTGAGTTCCTCTCCTACCAGCTGGTGTATAACCATAGAGTCACAGAATGGTTTGGGTTGGAAAGGACCTTAAGATCATCCCGTTCCAACCCCCTGCCATGGGCAGGGACACCTCACACCAGACCGTGTCACCCAAGGCTCTGTCCAACCTGGCCTTGAACACTGCCAGGGATGGAGCATTCACAACTTCCTTGGGCAACCCATTCCAGTGCCTCCCACCCTCACTGTGAAGAACTTCTTCCTTATATCCGAACCTGAACTTCCCCTGTTTCAGTTTGAACCCATCACTCCGTCACAGCTCCAGTCTTCCCGAAGAATGAACCTGGTTGGGCTGTGAATGGCTTTGCTCCTCAGGGGCAGGAAAGAGCCCTGACTCCCAGACCCAGGGGGGAGCACCCAGCATGGAGCTCAGTACTGGTATGGAATCCAGAGCTGGCTCTAGGGAAAGCTGCTCCTGGTGGGCTGTAGATCCTGCAGCAGTGTCAGAGCCACGGGCAGCAAACTGAGCCACAATCCCAGCGTTAGGGGGAAGTCTGAAAAATCCCATCATGGACATTTTGTCCCTTCCAAACCCTTCTGGGGATTTATTGCACACGACTGTCCCAAACAGTGATGCTGGTGGGGGTTGAGGTGGGATCCTGGCTCTGTGTTGGTGCCACTGGTGTGTGTGTGTGGGGATTGTATGAGGGATGCTGGGTTGGAAAGGAGGTGCTGGACAATGGGAAGAACAGGAACCGACTGCACTCGGCACTGGGAAGTGTGGATGGGTCCCACATGGAAAGCTTGTGGCTGTTCAAGGAGGTGTGCTGGGGTCACCAGTGCCCACAGAGGGGAGAACAGGACGGTGTCACCTGTAACCCAGGGCTGGGCTGTGGGCAGAGCCTCCCCCAAGCTCCATTCCTGTTTGCTGGAATGGGTTCTCCGTGCTGCTGCCTCTGCAGCAGAGATTAAAACAGGGGCACGGGGGGTTCTTTGGGAGTTTACCCCAAGGAACAGGCGAATCCTCGGAACACCAGGGGTGAGTGTGCTGGTGCTCCAGCCTGTCCCATGGACCTTGGTGTTCCACAAGCAGCCGTGTAGCTCCTGAGCATCCGGTTTGTAAAAGTGAGTGTAGTTACTTCAAATGACACGTGTTGGAAGTAAATACTGTGTTTGGTTTGTACTGTGGGGCAGCAGTCGTGTGGTTTCTTGCAGCCCAAGGCCTCCTGAGCCCAGTGCTCAAGAGGACATGTTACAGAGTGACCACAGATCTGCTGAATCCCAAGGGATCTCTAACAGGCTTTTTGGGGTGAATCATAGGATGGTTTGGGTTGGAAAGGACCTTATGATCATTCAGTTCCAACCCCCTGCCATGGGCAGGGACACCTCACACTAAACCATGTCGCCCAAGGCTCTGTCCAACCTGGCCTTGAACACTGCCAGGGATGGAGCACTCACAGCTTCTCTGGGCACCCTGTGCCAGCACCTCAGCACCCTCACAGGGAAGAATTTCTTCCTTATATCTAACCTGAACTTCCCCTGTTTCAATTTGAACCCATCACCCCTTGTCCTATCGCTACAGCCCCTGATGCAGAGCCCCTCTCCAGCATCTTAATGCCCAGTGTTTCCTGCAACCAGCAGCAGAGGAGCGGGTCCCATGGAAGCCCTGGCCAGCTGTGCACACATCTGGAGTGAGGTCTGGCAGAGGTGGCTGCAGTAAGGAATGCCCAAGGCGCTGTGCCCTCCGGAATAAGAGCACTGCAAGGTTTCATTTTGAAAATGCTTTAATAAGGAAGTGTTGACAACACCGTTCTGCAAAATGTAAAGGTAACTATACAAATTCTTAATACAAAAAGAATAAATTAAAAGCAGATCTGTTTTAATTCTGCAACTTTTTCTACAACATACATAGTTTTTTTCCTTGATTACAGTTGAACAGAATCCAGTCAAATCATTTTCCATGCTCTAAAGTCAATTTCAGGAGAGACCTAATGTTTTTTTTGGGTTTTTTTTTTCCTTATTTTTCCTTCTTTTTTTTAAACTAGAGAGTCCATTTTACACAACTCGTAATAAAACTATTGACATTAATATATATGTAAAACTTTACATCTAGTTAACTAAGCAGTAACTGGTCATCTGATAGCACCTGAATGGGGATCGGCTATGCCTGAAACTAAAACTAATACAGAGTGAAAACAAATGGGACTGTTTCAACATCTTCAACACTCGACTGCATATAGGATCATGGAAAAATAAACCCTGCCTCCCTCCAGCATGGCCCAGGGCGGGAGCAGCTCCCACCTGAGCATCGGACACGTAGACTCGGAACGCGATTGTGGCTTTATGTCGGATGGAGCCTTGGAAAACAAAAAAGGACAGGAGGGGTTAAGTTGGTAGTCAAGTGCTTGTCTATAATAGCTATGTATATACCCCTCCGCGTTATACTTCAATATGTTAATCTCATCTGATTAACATTTTATGTACATTTGTGTTTAATTGAATTGAGCTAAACAGTAAAACCTGTTTTACTTTAATCTGTCTTTACTACCAGACTGGCTGCTCACGTGTGCCTCGATTGCAAAGCAGAAAAGCAGAACACAAAGCAAAACTCAATCCGTTTCCAGGAAGC